TTTTTTTTGCAATTTCTATCTTTTTTTCCCTATGAATTTGGTCATTTACTTAGTCACCTAAAGCAAATTTCTCATGGCTTACCACATCCAGCAGATTGACAGCATGGCCCTTCTGTGGACTGGCTGGCATAATTGGAATTGGCTTTGATTTTTCTTCAGCTAGTAACTCTTCAGCTTTTGAAGTTTTCAGCATTCCTCGCCAGTTGCCTGTTGTGGGTTCTTGACCACTATCTCCAACCCCACCACCTCCAGATGCAGCCTGAAAAAACACGTTCCAAAGCCTATACCAGCTGTGCCATCTCTGTGAACTAAACAGCGTCCATTTACTTTACAGTAGTTGAGAACACCTGTGTAGTCCCCGCCTAGTGCTCAATCTATCGGGACAGATAACGGGGTCAAGAAAGGGAGACACTGGGCAGCGTACAGATCTGCAAACCTGAGCTCTCTGCACAGGAGGTTCACTTGTAAGCTTACAGGGCCTCAGCCAAAGAGGCCCTAACTTTTTCTTTGCCACTTGATGGCTTCAAAATTTTTCCTCTTCCTTCCCCCCCAAACACTAGATGATGGAAAATGCATAAGCTGCCCTTAAAAGTAAAGCTACTCATTAAAAGTTTGCAGAAGGAAACAGAACTGCCTTTTCACTTAATCTCTTCAAAGTAATGTTAAACACATGAATTTATGTCTGTACACTTAAGTATTTCTCAAATTAGTTCGCATTCCTAATAGCCAACAAAACGGTATAAAGTAGAAACTCTCCAATAGAAGAAATAAAGACTATACTCCAGGCCAGTGATGGTGAACCATTTAGAGCTGTCTACGATACAAACACTGCAGCACACGTGCCCTAAATTTGCCACCCCTGCCTAGGATGGCGGTCATTGTAAGCCGGCTCAGATCACACCTAAACTCCCTCAGTATCCATATTCCTGAGAAATTAAGAGAAATCAGTACTACTAGTTAATGATACAACTGCTTCTGCAACCTTTCTAGGATACTGATTATAGTCTTAGCTTGTAAAAAAAAAGTGACTATACATAATTCAACATTTAAAAAGAGGTTTTTAGACACTCTTTAAAATCTTACAATATGAGAATGGATTGTATACATTTTAACCGAAGAGAATCAGGGCAGCTATTATAAAGATGATAGTCTGGGGTATCATACTGAATTAAAATACTGGTCAAAATCTCTGGTACATGACAGTGACCTACATCTGAGCATAGGCATAAAATACATCATTTTTATTACATATAACTTAAAGATGACTACTTCTATTTTTTTTATTTATTTATTATTTATTATTTTTTTTTTTTGGTGGAACCGAGGATTGAACTCAGTCCTTTGCGCTTGCCAGGGAAGCACTTATTCCACTGAGCCATCTCCCCGGCCCCTAAGATGACTACTTTTAAATGCTTGCTAATTATACATGAACGACAGTGAAACCGTAAGGAAAGTAAACACATTCACTATGATGCCACGAGAAAAATAACACTGGTGTAATGGTTTGGACAGTTCTCATACTACCTGAGCACAGTGGGATGAGAGAAGGTAAGACTTTTTTTTTTATGTATTTAGTATAGGGTCTCACTACACAGATCGGACTCCTAGTGACCCTCCTGCTTTCAGCCTCCCAAGTGCTGGATTACAGGCGTGTACCACCACACCCAGTCTCAGTCACCATCTCAGCACGCTCCCCCCCTGGGGGGAGGGGCCGGCACAGCATGTTGGGGATCAAACCCCAGCCACTGCGCCTGCCTAAATAGGCGCTTTAGTCAACTGAGCTATCTGGCAGGCCTAAGGTATTTATTTATAAGGCTTCAGTTACAGTTCAGCACCTTAAATCTGGGTAAGAACAGGAGCTAAGTGGCAGGAAAATAGGGAGTGAAACTGAATGATTCATACATTGTCTAATTTTCTGCCAAAAAGGTCAAGAACTGACAACGCTCAAGCTCTCACAGTCCCGTTTGTCTTCAGTTTGCTGAAGCTGCTGAAGCATACACAAAGCTACGTATGCAGAGTGACAAGTGCGCACTACCAGGAAGCGCGAGGAAGCACGGGGGAGGACTGTCTTAGTCCCGGACAAAACGCAGCCCTTCAGAGGAAATGTCCAAGAGCACACTTTCTATCTCTCAGATCCTATTTCCCTACCAAAACACGAAATTCAAAACGACAGCTGGAGGTAACAAAACATTCTATTATTGTTAATGAGAACAGTGTTAAAACTAGTTACTGCCATCTTACACAGGTTAGATCAAAGGAACATTAAAAACATTAACACAGACAACAATCGATGCCACTCTACAGACAAATTCTTCAATGGTTTGAAGACAGTGTTTCAGTGAGAACCAAGGGTAACAACAATTCCATTCTGAAGCAAGAGACTCACATTTTTAGTTTCTCTTCTGCTGTCCTGAATTAACTGTTAAGAGATATGTTAAAACATGCAATTTAACAAGCAAGATTTAAATACGAATGATTTGAAATTCAAAAAAATGCAGGATTTCCTCTTAAACTTCTTTTTCTGTGTTCATCTTCTACATTGCAAACAAAAGATGTCCACAGCATTTTATAAAGTATGCAGTTACAGAACTTAAAATTTTGATTAAAGTTATGGGACCTTAGCACAACAGCCCACACTGCTATCCACTCCGTGTACCGTTCCCAGAAGACGATGTTGCACCCCACAAGCAGGCATGCAGGCGTAAAGAGGAACCCGAACAGACCTTGCCGTCAGCCTCGGCAGAAGCAGCAGGGGAGGGCTCCTGGGAGGCAGGCGCCAAAGCACTCGGAACTTTAGAAGACTAAAGGCAAAAATGCAGGGAAAAATCAAGGATGCCAAAAGTGCACTCAGAAACAGTCTAAATGTGAATTTTTCCCTTCTGTAATAAAATAGCAAGATAACATGAAAAACAATGTAATCATGGGAGATAAAATCGCTACTCTGCCTTATTTCCTAACTATTGCCACTTGTGGTAAAGTTTTCTTCAGATGCATGAAACCGAGAAACAAATCCAAAGCCACACTTCAGTTTTGGTATTTAATAAGACGTTTTTTCAAGGCAACATGATTTTTGTACATGTGTTTTACTGTGTATCAGCTATTTTAGTTATGATTGGTAGTCAAAACTCCTGCCAGGTGCTTACTGTTGTCCTCCTTCTCCAATAATCATTATAATGAATTCATTATAACAAAGCTGGCTGAATTTTTTCAAGGAAAAAAAACCTTGATGCTTTAAAGCCACCTTTAAGCATTTATTCCAGTATATTCAAAGCACCGTTATCTGGTACTTACTCAAAACCTATTTGAACCTTGTGCTCCTTTACTCATACTGTTCCAGTGAAATAAAAAAGTTACTTCTAGAACTGGGTGATATTCTGAAGCTTACCAGTCCATTTGTAGGAATTCGAAATATGCTTTCAAAACATGGTTTTTACCTTGTCTCGTGATACAGCTGAAGGTAATTCTCTTGCTAGCCTGTTTCGCCTTTGCTCCTATAAAATGTAATGAAGCACAACAAAAATGATAATTAGAGTACTGAGATATATGTCAGCTAAAAAATGTTCATCTTAGGTGAGAAGTGTGAAGTAGCTTACAGATAAACATCCTCTTTCTAGTGGGACTCACAACATCATTTCATATTTTAAAATAAAACATTTAACCCAGAGTTTCTCAATCTTTTTTTCTCTGCCTCAAAATGCCTGAGGGATCTAATGCAATGTCAGTAACGGGCTCCCTATGCTAGAGATTCTCAAAAGCGGAAATAGACTGAGGTCGCTCCCTTTCTCACTAAATTAGGAAACACCATCAGCACACTATGGAGAATCTGAAGCACACATATCACTGAATAATCTGCACACTTTGTGTTAAATTCAGACAACTTCACACCACGAAACCATCACTTGAAGATGTATGTGTGAGCCAGGCGTGGTGGTGCACGCCTACAATCCCAGCATTCAGGAGGCTGAGGCAAGAGGATTATTTCAAGTTCAAGACCAGCCTGAGCTACATAGTGAGCTCAAGGCCAGCCTGAACTGCATAGGGAGATCCTGTTTCAGAAAAAAAAAAAAAAAAAAAAAAAATAGATGTATGTGTGGTTGTGGTTCTCATTTAAAATGTTCTACTTTGTCAACCCTAAACTATCTCCACAGTGTTGATAACTAATATACATTTTTGTAACCTGGCTAATTTAACGGACTAATAAACATCTAAGCCCATCAAAATGTGAAACAAAGCTACAGAAGCTGTTCAACCCAAATCAACATGCACTAAACACCTGCCATATCTAAGCAGCATGACAGGGGCAAAATCACATAGATAAAGAAGGGTACAGATGGTGACAGTGACCTCTCACAGGCAGCATCGCTACTGCAAAAAAGCACTCAGAGTAAATTAAGTCAGACTGAGCCTGCACAGAAAGAACTTCCGGAACACTCTGACACAACAGCCAGCAACGCCTCACGATGCTGTCTAATGTGTAGAGTTCTGCTGTCTTTGAGAGAAACTTTGGCCCATTTTTTTATTTTTTCACAGGAGGTTATCCAGTGATAACAGATGGCAAAAATATATGGATTTCAACACTTTGATAAAAAGTTAGCATGTTAAAATGTCTATTTTTAGAGGGACACAGAACAAAAACCTGGAAACACGAATTCTCACCTAAGTCTGTTACCAACTAGTTACGGCCCTGACTGGTCACAGGCTCCTGCAGGCCCAGCTTACTGTCTGTGTTAACCGGATACATTACCCACCTTTCTCAGCTTCAATTTCCTAGTGTGTGAACAACAGCATCTCCCTCAGACACTGAAAACATCAGATTAAATAATGATACCACCCTCTACTCCTTGAGGCAATTATTAAAGCCAGAAGCATGTTCATCTGCAGAAAACATGGATTGGAATCCTATCCCATGAGACTTCGGTGGCACAACAAAATTGCTCCAGATGCAACCTGTCCATAGTCTTTTTTTTTTTTTTTTTTTTTTCCCAGTTATAAGAACTAAATCCTTAAACTCAAGAATTGTCTATGTGGCAATTTTTAATATGAGCCCACTTTTTATTCTAGAAGAACCTTATTTATGCATCTTGGAATTCTCTGCAACAGCAAAAATTCCAGGTGGATAGCTAATAACTTATTCCGAATACCTATTAAAAGGAAGGTGCTTTTTTTCCTACACAACAGTGCCCAGAAGAAAAGGCACAGACAGAGAACCTGCTACCATGCATGGGTCAGACTTCTCATCTGCTTTAAGCTGAAGCCAATACCCAGAGGCCTTCCACTTCCCATGTTCCATGTCTACAGCTGTCTCACATGCAAAAGAAGAAATACAGATAGAGACAAGGACTTAAGCCAGATGTGGTGGCGCATGCCTGGAATCCCAGCACTCAGACATCCATGAGTTTGAGGCCAGAGTGGGCTGTACAAGTGAGTTCAAAGCCAGCCTGAACTTGACAGTGAGACCCTGTCTCAAAAAGGCTGGGGGGAGGGAGGAAGCCTCAAGTCTGTCTGTATTAAGGAGTAGCAGGATAACTCATTGCTTTGGGAGAGAAGTAACACAAAACAAAGTAAGTGCATCTGATAAACTGCTGCTTGGGCACTGGCTCTATCTGCTATCGTTCAGAACTGGATACACATTAAGACAGATGACAAGCATCTACCCCACTTATGGTAAGAAGAGTGCTCTGCTTTTCCAAATTTATGGTAACGTAAATCATTCCCGGAATGCTTCTTTCACAGGTTTCAAAGCCCAATGAAAGCAATCTTCAGAATTCATTCATTCATTGTGTTTTATATACTGTATGTCAATCTAAATAAACTACTTTTAAACAGTAAACAATAATTTTCAGATCCTGAGTTGCGTTTCATAAACAGAAAGAATAATACCTCCAGGTGGTTTTGACAATTAAAGAAAACAATATAATGATATCAGCATGTTTTCTTGCATACAAGAATTTGTTTCATAAAAATTTGTATATAAGAAATACAGTGCATTTGTTTTATAGTTACCAATGACATGTAAGTTTGATATAACTTAGTTACAATAGATTTTTTTATCTCTGAAAAAAGACACATTGTATTTACCTCTATATTATTGTTCATTAGCCCACAAGCATCAGCAAAGTCAGGATGTTTTGTGTTGATATAAGCCAATTCAATTGCCACCAAATTATGTACCTAGAAAAAAAATAAGTATCCAAGAATATGTCCTTAATGTAGTTGGGGAAATTTATATATAAGGTTTTGAAACAGACAACTGGAGAAGTACAGGAAACTGAGGCCTAAGGAAGTACTCAACAGTTACACTCCAACTGATAAATCTTCTGGCAAATAAATCCTCTAGCTTCAAACTCAGGACTTTGCACTTACCAGGCATGTGCCGTGCCACTGAGCTATAATGCTGGCCCTAGCTTTTTAATTATTTATATTTCAGCACTTACAACTGCATTTCTCAGGAGGAAAACTGACATTAAGACACAACTATCTGGGGCCAGGGAGATGGCTCAGTAGAATAAGCACTTGCCTGGCAAGCTCAAGAGCCTGAGTTCAATCCCCAGTTCTGCAAAAAACAAAAACAAACAAACAAAAAAAACCCCACAACTATATTACTATTTGAGAAAAGTTACATACCTGGTGCTTTGCTGCAAGAAACTTTGCTATTCATATTTAAGATTATCCATTATTCCAAGCTAAAATTTTAGTTCAATTTTAGCAATAACAATTATAATCAGACATAAAATTAAAGATGTTACCTTTATTTGGATAACGGACATATTTAGGAACTCAGGTAGCAACCAGCTTTAATTATGAGGCATCTAGTCAAGTACAGTATGTGGTTCAAAATTTGGTACAAAATCTAAGGCTACAATAATTTAAAAACTGGAAAATAAGTGCCAGTCTTGTACAAAATTCTTACGTGTTACAGAGAATGAACTTAACTTTCCCTATGTTCTTTGTACCACCTGACACATCTCAGGGATCATGACACCACTTACGTAAGGGTGCAGAAATGGGTACCCGGGATCTACTCAAATGAAGTTCCAATGATGCTCTGCTAATGGTCGTCAGAGTCTGAGATCAGGTGAAGTGTGAGTCTGACAGTTCTCCATGTGTCACTCTTATTTTATACTTCCAAGGATAGTTTTATACTTTTATCATCCAGAGCCAAGAAATCAAATGCAATTTTAGTGACCAGCGGGAAACAAAAACCCACTAACGATTAGAGGCAAAAGGCCATTTCAAGTGCTTGTCTCATGTTCCTATCAATTTCAGCTTCGGGAGCTGGGGGTAGACAGCAGCAACCCCCCCAACAGTAGCAAGTAACTCTGATATTACAGTACTTGGTGGCCAAATAAGCAAACTGTAGAACAGGCCAATTACCCTGATGTACTTTGCAGCTAAGGAAGACCTTGGTATAAAGGCTTAATTTCCTAAGACGGAAGACAGATTGATTTCCCATTAAACCTGAAGTACCAGTATGTACTACAGCAAAGCTATTTACGACCTCAACAAAAACTCCATTCTCATAAACATTTGTGGCTGTGGGCTAGGAATGGTTAAAATATAAAGAAAAATGCACTTTATGCAAGAATTACTGAAAAATTTCTTTGAAGTATGACTGAAACTCATTCTCAATCTCGCAACACACTGGGAAACATGCCCAAACCCTGAAGTAATCACGGAATATTAAAAAAGCAGGCAAGCTAAAATTTAAGCTTTTTACTAATACTGATAACAGTGATACCTGAGACACAGAAGCTCACCATTTCATTTGTGACAGGAAGCCTTTTACGGAGAAGACAGGTCACTACTTCAACTATGGCATCATGAAGCTTAGGAAACCGTAACAATTCCTACACATGATAAAGAGTTAAAAATGTAAATTTCATTTAATGAAAACCAAGTCTTTTCTAAAATACTTAGAGAACATAACATGGAAGTTACATTTAAGAATATCACTGCAAATCACTTTTAGACAAGGGCACCACAGGTGGCAACCGCTAGCCCATCCTCTACGCGCACTTCTTCCTGGCCTGTGAAACCACCCCCTCCAGTCCTGCACTAGCTACACCGGGACCTGCTGCTTTCCCTCAGTGACCTGTGTACTGTAATTGCTGCAGTGCTGAATGATCCTCTGCATTTCCTCATGAACCAGTTCCACACAACGGAGGCTGGGCTCTTCTAGACGTTTGATTTGCCGTTTGACCAGTAACTCAAATGAAACCTCAGGCACAAACAAAGCAGGACGAGGGCCCTGAGAAAATAAAACATTAAGCTACATGTAATTTCAGTTCTTCCCAAGGGGTTAAAAATAAATCATATTTTTTATATTTTTTCATGAAGTGTGCTTAATTTTAAATTAAGAAAGTAAAACCAAAAAGATAGTAACAGTTTTTATTTTTAAAGTTTTAATCTCATTTTCATGAAGTCTGAAAGACAAGCATACTCACAGTAGCATTTCTAATGGCAGTCAAAATGTCTATAGTGTTAAGGCCACCTAATGGGTCAACAGATTCTAAGGTTCGGCCAAAAGTTTCATGGAAAATATAACAAATTCTAGCACCACCACATCTGAAAGGCAATGAAATATATGGTCACTTCCGTTATTGTAAGAGAAAGAACCTCCAAGTCAGAAAGTCTCTAAGCTTTAAGCATACCATTTTGAGAACACTTCATAAGCAATGCTTTCCACCCACCTCTATTTCAATGCGTTCGCAGAATCATGATGTACCAGTTTATCTCAGGTGTTTTGTTGGCTTGGTTATGAGAAAAGGAGCCTCTCCATGAAAGGTATTCATATATACTAGTTTACACAGGAACTATTTGGACATAAATTATCAGTTAACTAAGAACTGTTAAAAGAGTTTCTCTCTGGCCTAGTTTCTTTGCTAGCCTATGTGCTCCTTAAAGACAGGGAACAGTACTTTGTTTCTGCTGACTCACAAAACTCACAAATTCTAAAGATCGTAAACATTTTCTTTACAGGGGCCATGTGGTAAATATTTAGGCTATGCTGGATATACGATCTCGCAACTACTCAACTGACATTAAGAACAAAATCAGCAATGCAAGATACATAAAGAAGGCCAGCCATGTTCCAATAATACTTGCGCATACTGAAATGTGCATGTTATACGTTTTAGATGTTATGAAACACTAATACTTACAATGTAAAAGTCATTTTTAATTGTTGAATTATTGTTTGCCTACTTTTGCTTTTGACAAATCACTTCACTTCAGTATTAGGCCCCTGTGCTTCCCATCTTGTTTAATGACTAGAAATTCTGGGATTAACTTCTATGATCTTATTTGAGTGCAGCTAGAGTCTACAAATGCTTTTATAATGTCTCCCCAAATCTTCCCTATTTTTACTACCATTATACATCAATATTTATAAGTTAACCACAAGAGGATACTATATGATTTCATTTATGTGAAATATCTAAAATAAGCAAACTCAGAAAGCAAATTGGAGGTTATCAAGGTTTGGGCAAGAGATGACCAACAAGCAACAGTAGAGAACATACAGGAGTTCTCTTTAGGTGATGAAAAGTTTTGGAACTCTATGCCAGTGACAGCTGTACAACATTATAAAGGTAACCCAAGCCCCTGAGTTGTGCCCTTACATTACACTGTTACAATTACTGGTCACTTGTCTCTTTTCTTCCATTTTTTTCCTTTGCTGAATTATCCTACAACAGGTTACACCTCTGATCCAAAGTGTTTTATGTTTCACAAGTTCTCCCAATTCTGAGCAAGCCTTGTTTCTAGACTCCTTTCCTGCTTCATCTCCGCTGCACCCCAGTACTGTACATGCATGCCACTCTCCAAATACATCTTTCATTAGTCCATGCTGTTCCTGAGCCTCAATGCCCTCCTCTAGCACCGCCCCAGATTCTGTTCCAAGCCCCATTCAGATGCCTCCTTAACTATGCAGCTTTCCCAATTCCTGAGAAAAATAAAACATTGTCTCTTTAGTGTCCTGAAAGCTTGATTAGGTGGACACAGCCCATCAATTCATTAACAATTTATATAATTAGACATAGATGTTGCAGGCACTTTTCTGGATGTGTGTTCTAACAGTGTTTAAATAATCATACCTCTGCCACCTATTCAAGCCTCGTATTTCTTTGACCTACACTACCCAGTATACCTCATAAAGGTCCACTGGAATCATATTTTCTTCCCTCAGCATGCCACTCATACAGTAATAATTCAATAATTAGTCTGTTAAGTACTCTGAATCTCTGGAGTTAAGTCACATGAAACACCACCCAAGTCATCAACTGCTACACATATACACGAATGTATGTGTAACTGGTAAGGTCTGAATAAACCCTGTGGATTGTACTAATGTTCACTTATTCCTTGTGTTAATTGTGCTATACTAACATGCATGAGACCTCTCTATACAGTTCTCTGCAACTTCCTGATTCTATTCATAAAATACAACATTTTTAATAAATGAGGGGTAGTGGTGAGCAGCCAGGGTAGGAAAAAAAAAAAAATAGAGGATGTAGAGAAAGAGACATTTTTACATAGTGCTAGTAGTTAAACAGTGCAGTATCCTCATAGTATGTAATACGTACTGAATACTTCAAGGATGCTATACCTTCTAGTGCAATCATTCTATTTCTAGGAATTTATCATCAGGGTTAGCCTGGATACATGCCCCAAAGGTATGTGCACAAGCAGTCCTTCAGATCAGTTATATCTGTGTATCTATTAGTCACTCCTTGCCCATGGCCCATGGTTTTACTTTCTTAGGTTTCACTTACCCAGATCAATGATGGCACAAAAACATTAAATGGAAAATTCTAAACATAAATGAATTCTAAGTCTTAACCTGTGCACTATTCCGAGCAGCATGGTGAAATCTCCTGCTGTGTACCTGGAATATGAGCATCCCTTTGTGCAATGTACCCCACCCATCAGTTGTTTCTGAGCCAACCTAGTCATCAGATCAGCTATCTTGGTTGGGATCACAGTGCTAGTGAACAGTGGAGTATACAACTATCCTTGGTTTCAGACATCCACAGAGGGCCCAAGGGGTCTTGCCATGTACTCCCATGGATTTTGGGGGGGGGGGGTACTGGAATTGTATACAAACTGTCCAACAGTAGGGGACCAGTTCAACAAGTTAGGGTGCATCTAAAAAGTAAAATACATGCACATCTTCAGACTAATAGTTTAGTATATAATATCAGAAAGTAGTTTGTAGCATGTTGATCAAAAGAATTTTCCATTACTAAGTTATTCTGTTGTCAGTATCATAGTTTATTTTGTGAGAAAGAAGTAGGCAGAGTCAGTGCAAGTTTAAAATTTTTTTAAGAATTGTGCTGGGGAGATGGCTCATCAGCATAGATGCCTGCCTGGTAAGCCCAAGGTCCTAAGTTCAGTCCCCAGTACTGCACAATAAATAAATCAATAAATGAATGAAATTTTTTAGGAATCAAAGTTAAAGACCAGATCTTCATATTTTTCTCAAAATCTGTTCAGTAGTAGGGTTTAGTGAATAAAATAATTGATTATTTGCCTACTCTACTATTAGTGAAACTGGGCAGTTGGGGATTCATAAAAATGAAGGATGCTTTAGGAAATTCACTTATTACTGATTTATACTGATGCTGTTTGGGTAAGAAGCTGTTTAATGAAAGAAAGAAATCACAGATACTGAAAGTTAAGGTTAACTGCTTCTCAGTCTTTTGGCTAAGATCAAGTGTGATATCTGTTCTTATTAGTGTAAAAGTTAAGGTTCAAAAAATATTTTCATATTATAGTGCCTTATTAATAATCATCATTTTGATTTTTAATGATTTGAAGAAAAATAAGTTCTTTTTTGCATGAAAGCTTATACATACAGAAAATTAACTTGGGTGGTTTGTATTATATTTAAATAGGGCTTTGTGTCAACAATGTTAAATACACTTCACACTTATTCCCCCTGTGGTGCTGCTTGGCCTGCAGGTCCGTGCAGGGCCGCGGACGTGGGTCTATATTACACAGGATGGGTTTTGTTAAGGTTGTCAAGAATAAGACCTACTTTAAGAGATACCAAGTGAAGTTTAGAAGACGACGAGAAGACAAAACTGATTACTATGCTAGGAAATGCTTGGTAATCCAGGACAAAAATAAGTACAACACACCTAAATACAGGATGCCAGTTCGTGTAACTAACAGAGATATCATCTGTCAGACTGCTTATGTCCGTGTTGAAGGGGACATGACAGTCTGTGCAGCATATGCACATGAGCTACCAAAATACGGTGTGAAAGTTGGCCTAACAAATTATGCTGCAGCGTGTTGCACTGGCCTGCTGCTGGCCCGCAGAATAGGTTTGGCGTGGATAAGATCCATGAAGGCCAGGTGGAGGTGACTGGAGATGAACACAACGCGGACAGCACTGATGGCAGACCTGGCGCCTTCACAGGCTATCTGGCTGCAGGCCTCGCCAGAACCACAGCTGGCAATGAAGCTTCGGGAGCCCTAAAGGGTGCTGTGGACGGAGGCCTGTCTATCCCTCACAGCACCAAACGGTTCTCTGGTTATGACTCTGAAAGCAGGGAGTTCAGTGCAGAAGTACATCAGAAGCACATCAGGGCTCAGAATGTCACAGACTATATGCGCTACCTAATGGAAGAAGATGAAGATGCTTACAAGAAACAGTTCTCCCAGTACATAAAGAACAATGTGACTCCAGACATGATGGAGGAGATGTATAAGCTCATGCTGCTATACGAGAGAATACAGTCTATGAAAAGAAGCCGAAGAGACAAGTTAAAAGGAAGAGGTGGAACCGTCCCAAAATGTCCCTTTGCCCAGAAGAAAGATCAGGTAGCTCAAAAGAAGACAAGCTTTCTCAGAGCTTAGGAGCGGGCTGCTGAGAGTTAAGCCAAATTTCTAGGAAGATTTTTCAGATCAAGACCAATAAACTTATTCATCAAGAAAAAAAAATATGGGGCTGGTGAGATGGCTCAGTGGTCTAAAGCACCTACTTACAACAAGCTTAGCAAAGCACAGGGACCAAGGTTCGATCCCCCAGCACCACATGCCAACCCGCCCGCCCCCTGGTGGGCTGAGCTGGCCACACACACACACACACACACACACATAAATAAATAAATAAAAATTAAAAAAAAAAAAAGAAAAAAAAAAAATAGCGGGGCCAGGGAGATAGCTCAGTGAACTAAGAGCTTCCCTGGCAAGCGCAAGGGCCTGAGTTCAATCCCAGGTTCCGCCAAAATAAATAAATAAATAAATAAATAAATACACTTGACAAAATTAAATGTGGACTGCACCTTTAATCGTGACAGAGTACCCAGAACTGCATTTCCTAAGTCATGTGTCACTGCCATGGATTTTATTTGATTACACTTTTTCTTCAAAAAAAATAAATAAAAATGAAATAATTTTCCAACTAACATGTATAGCATCTAACTTTTAAAGAGGTATATAATTCAGGCATTTATGCTTATAGATGCATAGAACAATGTCTAGGTCAATGCTAAATTCAGGAATTATCTCTGGCTAGTAAAATTAAGGGTAATTTTGTTCATATGTTTATTTTTTACCTATTTGCATCTTCTAAGTTTCCACGAACAATTATAGCTTTAAAGACGCAACAAACATTTGTAAAGCTACGTTAAAAAAATGTAAATTTTATCAAGTGAAATAGTGCTTTAAAAAACCCAAATTTTCAGGCCAGGGAAACAGCTCAGTAGAATAAATGTCTGCCTGGCAAGTGCTAAGTCCTGAAATCCCCAGTACTGAAAAACAAAAACAAAAACAAAATTGGGCTGGGGAGATGTGGTCTAACGCCTGCCTGGCAAGCTCAAAGACCCGGGTTCGATCCCCAGTACGACATGCCACACTAAGCCTCAAAACTCAGGGCACACTGTGCCAGCCACCAAAACTGGCCGTAGTGGCGCATGCCTACCCTGGGGAGTCTGAGACAGGAGAATCACTACTAGTCCAAGCTGCACAACAAGATCCTGAACCAAAATAAATAAATAAATACACAAATTTTTACTGTGCTTCAGCTTAGAAAACATTTTTTATATAAATACCAGTCTTCATTTTATCATTTCTATAAAATGAAATCCTAGTTTTACAAACAATCACGAACAGACAACTTAAAGGTACCTTAACAAAAGATAAGTGACCCTGCAGTATAGGTAGCCAAATATATACAGAAATGTTTTACTTACAGCTCTGAAGTTTCGATATATTTTGCAGTTCCTTCAATAGTGTTACAATATTCTGTGGCAAATTTGGTAATAAGCTGAAGTAAAGTAGCACTTTTATCATCCACGGGTTCGCCATAGCTGTTCAGCAGAGACTGATACTGAGCAGCTAAAACATTTATTCTGGTCTTCAGCTCTGGTAAGCAGTCCCTGATGTGGTGCATCAGCAACCTAACAAGATTAGAGGAGGGTTTGAAAGTAAAAGTATTCTAACACTCCAAATAAATCGGATGTTTAAGATGCAAATAGCAGGATGTAATCACAGCACTTGAGGGGCTGAGACACGTGAGTAGCTAAGAGTCCAAAGCCAGCAGAGACCACATAGTGAGTTCATAGACAGCCTGAACTACATAGCAAGAACTTGTCTCAAAAAGCCAAAAAAAATTAATTAAAAATAAAAAACAAGGGGCTGGTGAGATGGCTCAGTGGTCTAAAGCACCCACTTAGAACAAGCTAAGCTAAGCAAAGCACAGGGACCGCGGTTCAATCCCCCAGCACCGCATGCCAGCCAGCCCCTGCCCCCTGGTGGGCTGAGCTGGCCACACACAAAAAAATAAATAAATAAATATTAAAAAAATAAATAAATAAAAAACAAATAACGAAGGAAACATGTCAAAGGTCTAACATTAAAGAACAATTATATATAATTTTTTCCCTTCCTCCACATTTCCTAGCACTCAGGTCCTAAAAGCCCTAAGCTCTCCAGAGTATCTTCTGCCTAGGAAGAAGCTTCAGGACAGGAACTGCATACCAGAAAACCCAGGTCTGAGCAGGAGGTTCACTGCTCAATTGCTTCTGTACAGTAAGGCTGCTGCGGAACCCCGCGGACAGTGTGCATGAACGTGAACTATGTGGGCTCCAGGCTGGTGGGGCTCATGGGCGCAGGGGCTGCGTGCCCTCACCTTGCCCATGGGCACCAACTGTTACCCCAGGACCCTCACTCACAGTAAGTGGTACACGAAGTTGGGTCTCCGCAAATCTGCTCTAGCAAATGTGCTGAGCTGAGGAGGAGACCATCCCTGTGCCCACAACCTGTGCTCAAGTGGAGGAGGAGTCAGGCTGAGCCTCGCCTGCAGGACTGGCTGCTATTCAGGACTGACTGGGTAGAGGACGCCTAGGGAGAATGAGCGGGGAACTGCTCATCTTGTGCGGAGAACCCACACCTGGTGCCAGAAGCGCTCCCTGCTCTGAATGGCTGTGAGGCACAGCAAAACACTGGATCATAAGAGCAGAGCATGAGCTCAGGTGAGAAGCAAGTAGTCTTTGAAAACAAAATGACACCAAGATATTTTGGTCAATGTTACTGAAATCTGCCTTCAACCTATCAAACTGTACCAATTGCTAGGAAAAAATGAAAATTATTTTCACATTGTTGCAATTACCACATAAAAGCCACTCAGTCCAATTTTACCTCCATTATTTTGGTTTCATCATCTTTTACAATAGGTAAAAATAAATCATGTTCAAGTTATAAATTTTAATTCCATTCCCAAATACAAGTAGAAATGAAGTCATCTGTTATCTAGCTATAACCCCAAAACTGCCAAAATTTTCGGCTTTATTAAAACATTTCAAAATTCATTTAAACATTCTAGGCTACATGATTTAAACTAATCCAATAAAAATAAGAGAGATCTACTTCAAAAGAACCCATTATACAGAGCTGGGGATATAGCTCAGTGGCGTGGCGCCTGCCTGGCAAGCACGGATCGAGTTTGATTCCCAGTGAAAGAAAGAAAAAAAAGGACGGAGAAGGAAAGAAAGGAGAAAGGGAGAAAGGAAGGGAGGGAGGGACGTAGACAGAGAGACACACAGAGAAAGACAGAGAGAGAGCACACTATACAGAAAACAGAAGTGAAACTATAAGGAAAAGTATAAAACACAAGGGACTAATATATAAGAATAACATCCTCCAATACTTGTCGACAAAACAAATTCATTTTCAAAAGGTAAAAATGTTACCTGTTTAGAGTCCTAGCAAGATACTTTGTTCCATTTCTATTGGCCAGAGATGGGTATTTCTTTTGAAGAAAAGCATATTCATCACGGATGGAATCAGTTACACTCTTCTTATTGTTAATATCTAGCTGGCTCCTAGGTTGAAAAGCAATAGAATTGTTCAGCTAAAGAAAATTGTCACCCTTGCCTACCCCACGACTCTGGTGATGGTGGCAGTCCTAGGTGTTCTTCCCTAACACCTGTCCTTGGCAAGGCGTGGCGGTGCATGGCTGCAATCCCAGCACTCTATGGAGAGGCAGGAAGCTTGCCAAAAGCTCAAGGCTAGCCAAGGCTACATACTGAGTTCAAGGCCAGTCTGAACTACATAGTGAGACTCTGTTTCAAAAAACGAAACAAAACAAAATCCACAACCTAACACCTGATAAGAATTGTTTTATTTAATTCTCACAATAATTCTGTGTGAAAGGTACAATCCTATTTTATAGTAAAGAACTGAGGTTCCAAGAGATTAATTTACCCAAGGCCACACTTTAATTAGCACAGCTCAAATTTGAATTATGTGACTCCTAAGGTAATTAAAGCCTGAATAGTGTAGGCCTCATTGTTACCACTAATGTACTCAAAAGCAGTTAAACAGGTAAAAACTGTAACTCTATCTTAATCAACTGTATCTCTTTCTTGGAAAGGCAACTAATTTCTACCAAAAATAATTAAGTTAACTTGAAGGGCAAGCATACACAAATACAAAAGCAGTACTACAGCACATCCTTGCCTAGAAAGGAAAAGAGCTGGAATTGAACACAGAATAATAGTTTACCCAGCTATCTATAACTAGGATAACTATAATAAGATTTCTCCAAGTCACCCTGGCAATGCATAGCATCACTAATGCGAGAGGTTAAATAAATCTATTAAAATCCATGAGCTTTCTTGATTAGGTACAAGTCAGATAATTTTTTTTCTCCTTACCCAGTACCCTTCTCAGACAACAGCTTCAATAACAGACTGACGTACTTAAAGCCTGGCTATTTAGTTATCTTCCAAGGTGTGGCACCGCTTACTCTGGAAACACTGTCAATTAGCAATACCTCTGAGAGTTTAGTCAATCTGTTTTCTCCCTCTAGAGCAGTAAATTCTTTAGCAACACCACCTTCATAGTAAGGGGGAAAAACAGGACAGCAGACATTTCAGACTGATTTTAGAAATTCATACTTGCTTTGAAATGAGAATACTGCATTCTAATCTACTCTTTTTTTTTTTTTTTTTTTTTGCGGAACCAGGGATTGAAGTCAGGCCCTTGCGCTTGCCAGGGAAGCCCTTATTCTACTGAGGCATCTCCCCAGCCCCTCTAATCTACTTTTGATGCTAACCTGTTAACCACTCCGATTATTCCAAGTTTGACGGGAATAACCCTTCCCATCAGCACATCCATGGCATCAGTGCCTGCATCCATGAGATCCAGTTTAGTGATCACGGCAAGGGTTCTGCGGCCTGGCCAGTATACAAAAGAAAGAAGCAAGGAGGGTGGGAGGGAGGGGAGGAAGGAGAGAAAAGAGGAGAGGGAAGGGGAAGGGAAAGAAAATGATCCATTAAAGCCATTAATTATTAATAAAGGAAAATCTTCTCTACAGTCCTATCTAACATTACCTCTTCCATAATTTGCTGAACTTTGCTTTACATAATTTTAAACACAGTGTATAATTACTTTTAAAAAGTTTTCATATGCAGTTTTCTTTTTATTAGCTCTTAGGACAAACTTTTTTGGTTTTAACATTTACTTCGGTTTGGCATAAAACATTTCAGGGGAGTTCCTCTTTTTGTTGTTTTTTGGTCTTTGTTTTTGTCAGTGTTGGGGACTGAACCCTGGGCATGTTAAGCAGACGCTCCCCCACTCAACTACATCTACAGTCCTTACCTCCATTGTTTCTGACAAGTGCGGACAGTTGTGTCATTACTGCCTCAAAACAAAATAGTTCCATGGCCCCTACTGCTCTTGGGTAGATTTCCTTACTATGTATTACCAGACTAAGACTATTAGATCAAAAAGCATGATTGTATTTATTGTACAAGGGTCACTTTATTTCATGCTACTTTTAAGTTTTGCTCCTGGGAATCGAGCCTGGGGCTTGCATGTGCTGAGTGCAGGCTCTGACATCAAGCCACACTCCCACCTCGAGGGTCACTTTGGTCACTACAAATACAATGCTTAATATTTTACTACAAATAATAAAATTTAAATAAGCTTTTTGGTGGTTTATCTTTTAATCTAACTGAAATGAATATTAACTGCTCACAAGAAAGTTTCTTAAAACTTCAAATAAAAAAGTTGCAATGGCAATTTTAATTTTTGCTTGTGGAAATTTTAATCAGCATTCTAAAGCACTAACATTTCCTGTGAGATTTTTGTTTGAAATTCTTTCAAATCAGGAAAGGAAAAACATGACACAGCCTTCAGTATTTCCAAATACTGAAGTGCACAGAACCGGCCTTGTGGGGCAATGAGAACATTTATCGACGGCAGTAATAACCAGTCTACAAGCTAGAATTTTATGCAGAGTAAGAGTTACCCTAAGCATCGCTGACCAAGGGACACCACCCACAGTGTGGACCCATTCTTGGGGATATAGATGTCTGCCATAAGCATTTCACCTTTCCTGTGCAGGAAGCATGTCTAAATGCTTTCTACTTTTGCAGAATGTACAACACTGTACTTCTCTATCATAATAACCTATAGCAATTAAACACTGAGTGGTTTATCCTAAAAGTTAAGTGCTACAAAACTTAAGTCATTTTATTTGTATGATCTTTTTGCAAAGTCATTTTACTGTTAAAATCACTAGGTAATTATTATTGCAGAAATAGACATCATGTGAAGTCTTTTTGGTTAGCCTATATACCAACTTAATACCTATTTTCCAACAAAATTCCTATGTGAAATTTTATGCCAAGTAGAAATGCATTACTTTTAAGGGTTTTTTTTTTTTTTTTTTTTTTTCTGAATGCCCTCAGGCATGGTTTCTCTGGCTGGAGTGTTGTGGGAGTCGAACTACAGCAACCTGAGGCTCACAGCTTTGTGGAAGCAGCCACTTAAAGAACTGAGCTATGGCCAGGCCCCCGAGAAATGCATTACTTTTAAAAATCTTTGTTAACTTCTTTTTTTTTTTTTTTTACCCCTGTATCAGGGATTGAAATTTTTTTTCTTTTTTAGGGTGTGTGGAGGTTGTTAGCAGGAATTGAACTCAAGATCGTCATGCTTGCCAGGCAGAAAATTTCTTATTAAATATTAACATCTGTTCTTACCATCTGGATCTACCTCTCTCGAAATTTTAAGTGCCTCTGACGTTGCCATATCTGTATTGGCAGCAGTGACGGCGAGGATAATGGAATTGGGATTACTGATGAACCGAAGAATGAGCTCTCTGATTTGAAGCTCAATGTCCTTAGGTTGATCACCAACAGGCACCTAAACCAGAGACGAGCAAGGAACTAATAAAAAAAAGTTAGCTCAGCTTCTTCCCCACACAATCACAGAATTTTGGTATCTCTCCATTTACTAATGAAGAAATTAAAAATAGCCTATAATAATACTTATAAACTAGGCAATATATCAAGTCTCAAAACACCAACTGCCAAAATCAAGTTTACTTCTGTACAAATGTTGTTTACTGAACACAATCGTATGTTAAGGACCGGTCGGCACTAACTCACTAGAGACAAATGTATTCATTCACCCATCAAGGGCTGAGTAACCCCCCAAGGTATTTCAAGTATTACTACTTTACATGGCAGAGTGTTACAGCAGTAAGTTTTAAAAAGATCCAAATATCAGTCTTGGAGCTTCTGCTTAGTGAGAGAAGCAGAGTGAACATACTTACTGTATCCAGGTAACAGAAAGGGCTATCAAAGCAAAGCAGAACAAGAAGTAATGGATGAGTACAGGGGTTACCATTTTAAACTGCTATTTTAAAACTAGATTCTAGGGGCTGGAGAGATGGCTCAGTGGTCTAAAGCACCTACTTAGAACAAGCTTAGCAAAGCATCAGGGACCGCGGTTCAATCCCCCAGCACCACATGCCAGCCAGCCCCGCCCCCTGGTGGGCTGAGCTGGCCACACACACACACACCACACACACACTCTCTCTCTCTCTCTCTCTCAAATAAAAATAAAAATAAATAAATAAATAAAACTAGATTCTATCAGAACTGAGTGACAATGACATTTGAGAGAAATAGCAGAAATTAAAGGCTGTAAGGGAGAGGTACACAGAGAGCAGCCATCAAGCAAGAGCACATGATGGCAGGTGAGGCAAGGACAGGCTGACTGGGCAGCATCTCTGACCACTTGTTTCAAGCCTGAGTATTTTCTGGTGAGGTCTTATTTTGGTGGAAACATGGTATGTGGGAGAAGAATATTTCAGGGTGTGTGCCTAGTAAGGGCAGGAGGCCGGAGCAGAAATGAGAAGGCTAATAAGGGCACAGCAAGTGGATGCTTCAGATCTCTGTAGGAACACAGGCTTTTCCTCTCAGTTAAATGTGAAGCCCCTGGCGAAGATGGTGAGCTAAGAAATGATTCGATCTAATTTTCACCCCAACAGGATTACTATGGCTCCTTAGGTGAGAACACACAATGAAGCCCTATTGTTTACTGTTGTTATTATTGCACTAATCTGGAAAGATGATGGCTAGCTCAGGACAGTAGCTATGAATGTGTGAGACACTGTGATGGCTCAGGTCTCCAATATTCCCTGAAGGCTCAAGCATTCAGAGGTTGGGCTTTCAAATGGTGACCGGATCAGCTGACTGTACATCAGGAGGTGTGGGCTGGTGGAAGAGGCAGGAACTAGAGGAGGTCACTGGGGTTGGGGCGGGGGGGGGAGTCTCCTTCCCAAGTCTCCTCCCCACCGCTTTCCAACAATAATGCTGTACACAGCTCCCCTCTACCAGATCTCCCCTCCCCCTTCCTGCCTTTAAGTCAGCTCACTATGTATGAATTTTCTTAACAAACAAATAAACTGCTCCACTTTTGAAGTATGGCTGTCGGGCAATTTGTCGCAGCACTGAGAAAGTGACTCAGACACTATAAAATTGTAGATATATTATAAAGGTAAGAAGAGCTGGGCTTGGTGGCACACACTTATATCACAGCACTCTGGGAGGCTGAGGTAGGAGGATCACAAATTCAAGGCCAGACTAGACAATTTAGAAAACGTCTGCCTCAAAAGAAAAAATTAGGGGCAGGGAGATGGCTCAGTGGAATAAGCGCTTCCCTGGCAAGCGCAAGGGCCTGAGTTCAATCCCCGGTTCTACCAAAAAAAAGAAAAAATTAGGGCTGGCAAGATAGCTCAGAGGACTAAGCGCTTGCTTAGGTAAGTGCAGGGGCCAGGGTTCGATTCCTGGTACCCATGCTGTGCTGGAACCGTCCCAGGCACAATGAGCTAGCGATAGAGTAGGGGTGTGGCAGCATACACCTGTAATCCCAGCATTAGGGAGGCAGAAAACAGGAGGATCACTATGAGTCTAAGCTGTGTAGTGAGACCCTGCACACACACACACACACACACAAAAAAAAACCCTGAAAGAAAAAAGAAATTTTAAAAAGGGTTGGAGATATAGCTCAGTGTGAAGACTCTGAAAAAAAAAAAAAAAAAGTGGGAAAGCCAAAAGGATGTCCTGACAGGAAATATGACATATTTCACTATTCAAATATATGGTTTTCTGGAGTTCAGAGAGAGAGAAATAGAAATGTCAAAGATGACCACAAACTCTTTGGCTAAGAACTGATAGTCTGGAGCTGCCATTTATTGAAGTAAGAAGACTACAGAAAGAATAAATCTAGCTGAAAAATAAACCAGGAATTTAGTACTATGCACGTGAAACTTGAAATGCCTGTTAGACATTTAAGAGTACGCGACAAGGTCCCCCAAGTGATCTCTAGACACTGAGAGGCAAGAAGAGCCAGGCAAGGGAATGGACGTGAAACTGGAGCCGCAACGGTAGTGTGGTACCCGAAGCCAAGGCAAGTGTTTCAAGGGGCAACCAACCAAGTGCGAGGACAGTGCGAGTTTCACGTCAAAATAGGCAGGTCACTCTCGTATGGGATTTAAGCCCTCCTGTTCAAGTGAAAACAACCACATTCATGAGTAACAGCTATTCCTCACCTTGGTCATTCCTGGCAAATCCACAAGTGTCAAATTAACAACGTTGGGTGAAAAGATCTTAAGATGAATTGGTTCAGGACTTACTCCCTAAAAATAAGTTTTAAAATATATTAAAACCACATCAGAATTTTAATGAAGTTTCAAATGCTAAAATATAACTCAAGTACATAGACTGCGGGAACTTTTAAGTATGAATTAAGCCATCATTCCCAAAAATGTTCAACTAGAGGATCTAAGCGACACACGGGAAGGCACAGCAGGCTACAATCACATCCAACCCCTCGCCATCAACACAGACTTTTTTTTTTTTTTTTTAATATTTTTTTTATTTATTTATTTTGTGTATGGCCAGCTCAGCCCACCAGGGGGCGGGGCTGTCTGGCATGTGGTGCTGGGGGATTGAACCGCGGTCCCTGTGTTTTGCTTAGCTTAGCTTGTTCTAAGTAGGTGCTCCAGACCACTGAGCCATCTCACCAGCCCCAACACAGACTTCTTACATGGACACTTAGCACCAAAAAAAAAAAAAAAAAAAAAAAAAAATACCCCTCGTTACTCAAATACCTGGTGTTCTGGAGTTCAGAAAGAGAGAGAAATAGGCAAGTTCTCCCAATCAGTTAGGGTCCTGATTTCATGTGTCAAATCGCAAGACTGTACAGTAAAGCTTTTCTCACACAAGTTATCTGAATGCTCAGATTCCCAGATTCAAACAGTAAGAATGGGAAGCACGAAACTGCCATATTTTCTCTCCTATGGACTAAGATTTCTGCAGAGAGGCGACCTTCACCATCGGCCCACTACACGTTTTGGGGTTGGGCTGGCTACGAGCAAGGTGTTGGCTCCCTGCTGAGGTGTTCATCCTTGTCCTTGTACACAGTCTTTTTCACCCTTTTATGTCTTCTCATGTGTTTATCCACCATCTATACATATATTAACCTATTATTTTTTTAGACAGGGTCTCAACTATAAAGTCCAGGCTGGCCTCAAACTCATGGCAATCTTCAGCTTCCCAAGTGCTGGGATTATGGACGGATGCCACCACTGGCACTACGTTGTACTGTTCCTCAGGACTCTTATTACCATGTATTTCCTTATCAAGTGCCAAACAGTTGCCCAAATACCTTTGCAACTCCAATTTTGTATTTTAGCATCAAAGTTTTATGTTAGGCAGATAAAATAATTTACATATTCAGACATATGAAGTGTAAAATCAAAGTAACATTTACTTCATTACAAACATAATTTAAGAAAAATTTTTCTTCACTTAGGACACTGACAGCCTTTTGAGACAAGGTCTCACTCTATAGTCCAGGCTGGCCTCAAACTCATAGTGACCCTCTGTTATGGTTTGTGTCTAGGTGTCCCCCCAAAGCCTCATGCAGTCTTGGGGCAGCCTCTGGAGTTTGTGATTGATTACTGTGGGTGTGGTTGTTGCACCCGCCCTGGGGCAGGTGATTTGCATTTCAATGTAAGGTGGGAAGGGAAGCCAGCTGCTTGAGCTGCTGCTACCCCTCCCTTGTGCTCTTGCTCTTTGCTGCTGCCCTGAAAGGTTGCTCTCTGCTGTGTGCTGCTCTGCCTTGTAGCCAGCTGAGTGTGGACTGAAACCTCCTGTAACTATGAGCTAAATAAACCTTTCCTTCCTTCATTTTGGGTGTCAGGTATTCGTCCCAGCAACGAGAGAAGAGTAACTAAGACATTTGAACTCACAGAGCTCAGCCTCCCAAGTGCTGGGATTGCAGGCTTGTGCCACATTACCCAGTGCTTTTCATGTTTTAAACTCTGTGAATGAAAACCTACATAATTCACCTAGCTAAGTGAATTAGGTCCTTACGTAGGCTTAATCTTTCATGACACTGTTTATATACCTAAAACTTTTCAATGTCATACTCTCTAAGTTCTGGTAGAATGTAAAATTACTACCAATTGCTGAGTTCAGTAAATACATGGGGATTGTAGGAGAGATAATACAAATTGGTATGGTGTGATTTAATAACTTCCCCTAAATTGAAATTATCCAATATAATTGGGTTTCTGGCCACAAATTCTACCAATTCTATGCAATAAGGTTATTAGAAATTCAGGGGGCTGGTGAGATGGCTCAGTGGTCTAAAGCACCTACTTGGAACAAGCTAAGCTAAGCAAAGCACAGGGACCTCGGTTCAATCCCCAGCACCACATGCCAGCCAGCCCCACCCCCCTGGTGGGCTGAGCTGGCCACACACACACAAAATA